TAACGACAGAAAACATAACATAAGGAGTATAATTGTAAAGGGGGTTCAGGAGCAGAGGGAGTTTGTGTAGAATTGAAGGATGCAGGGCGGGTGGAGGGAACACTTAAGGTGATACTGATGCTTGGGGCAGCTACTGCCGAGGCGCAGTGGGGAAAGACCACCGTCTGAGGTCTTCCTGCTGAAGTTAATTGGGGGTCCGTTCAGTTTATCAGACTGTGTTGGTGCCTCAAGTGCATGTAAATATAGCCTTGTATGTGGAAGAGATGCCTTTGGTTTTTTAGGATAGAGCCAAATTCAAATGTTTGTTTGTTTACTCGATATGCTACCCGTACAGAACCAAACTACGTTTGTGACAATGTATGTATACAAAGATTTTTTAATGTATAAAGTTTGAAATATAAAAAAAATGCTGAACTTGTATAGGACACTTATTAGATCTCATCTGGCATATTGTGTGCAGTTCTGGGTGCCACACTGGGAAGGATGTGAATGCAAAGGAGAGAGTGCATAAGGAATTTTCAAAAATTGTTCTCAGTTTGAGAAATTCCAGTATTCAAATAGAATGGAGAGTTTGGGACTGCTCTCCTTGTAGCAGAGTAAGAGGATATATGATAGAAGTTTTCAAAATTATGAGCTATTGTCTACACAGAATATATAGAAACATAGTATTTGCGCTCATAAAGGACCAAGAACAAGAGCTCATAGGTAGATTCAGTTGGAGCATTTCAAGAGGGCATTGGATGATTATTTAAACAGAAAAAATGTACATGGGTGTGGGGAAAAGGCAGCAGAATGGTATTAAGCCATGATTCTCATTTGATGAGTTGGTGCAAACGTGATGGGCCGAATAGCCCCTCCTGTGCCGCAACATTTCTGGTTCACTATTCATTAATAGTAACATACGTCGCAGCCATACTTTTTCTAAATTGAATTGTTTTTAGCTGACAATCTACTTAAATTTTATGACTTGAAGGGAATGCAACTGACTTACTTTGAATTATCTCAAGTGGAATTTGACATTAAATTGGAGTTTTAAGAGCAGTATAGAAAAATCACTGAAATTATAAAACATTGAAACATCTTCCCCTTTTATGCTTCTATTTTAGTCTTTCCATAAATAACAAATTGGTATCCAATTTAAATTAATAATCTCTTTTTTTGTTTTTGAAAACTTCTTGTTTGTAAGAACAGCATAGTCATAAAGTAAATTGAGTTACATTGCTGTTACATTTTTGTTTCACATACATTCTATTAAAACTAAACCCTTTCCAACAAAGGAAATGATTGTAGAGACAAATTTGGACGATAGGAAGGGAGGGAGGTAGAGGGTAGTAAAACAAGCATTACCACGTGGCTCCTCCCAAACCATACAACTCAAGAACCACATTGCATGTTACTGACAAATAATTTATAACACTGCATTTGCAGACACACAATGGTGGTTTTCAAGCTTTTCCTTATATTGATATGTGATGTTGAACATTGCCAGGCACTCTTGGCAAAACTTTTCTGAAAGACAATGGTAGCTAAACAGAGTCTGTATTGCAGAAGATATTTAGTCATATGAACATAGAAACATAGAAGGTAGGAGCAGGAGTAGTCCATTCGACCCCTCAAGCCTGCTCAGCCATTCATTATGATCATGGCTGATTACCAAGTTCAATATCCTAATTCTGCCACAGCTTTCCCCCCGCCCCACCCCGGTATGTCCCTTGATCCCTTTAACCACTAGAGTTACATCTACCTGCTCCTTGAAAACACATTTTAGTCTCAATTACTTTCTGTTATAGTGAATGCCACAGGCTCTCTACTCTTTGGGGGAAGAAATTTCTCCTCCTCTCAGATCTATAAGGTATATCTTTAAACCATGACCCCTGGTTCTGGACTTTCCCAATATAGGGAACATCCTTCCTGCATCTAACCTGTCTAGTCTTGTTGGAACTTTATAGGTTTCTGAGATCGCCCCTCATTCTTCTGAGGTCCAGTGAATACAATCTTAACCGTCTCAGTCTCTCCTCATGTCAGTCCTGTCATCCCAAGAATCAATTAGTAAACCTTTGCTGTGCTCCCTCTGTAGCAGGAATGTCCTGGCTCAGATAAGGAGATCAAAACTGCCACGGTATTCTAGATTTGTCCTCCTCTATGTGTGTATAATTGCAGCAAGACATCTCTGCTCCTGTACTTGGATCCTCTTGCTATGAAGGTTGACGTACGGTTTGCCTTCTTTACTGTCTGCTGCACCTGCCCACTTACTTTCAGCAGCCGGTGTATGAGGATACCCAAGTCTCTTTGAACCTTTCCCTCTCTCAATTTACAGGTATTCAAATTATAATCTACCATCTTATTTTTGCTACCAAAGTGATAACCTCACATTTATCCACATTGTACTGCATCTGCCCACTCACTAAAGCCATGGAAATTACATACAAATAAGTTGCAAATATGGAAATCTGATATTGGAGCCCCTAGGATTGAGAGATTATAGTTTGAAAACTTTTATTATGAAGGACTTGGTCCTCAAACAAATATAGTGACGTATAAGTAGGAACACTTTCTCCTAATCTGTGGTCCTTCATTAAGGAGATATCTGCACTTTTCTTCAAATTATGCAGGCAAATTATCAGTCAACTATGAAGTGAGTCACTTTGAATCTTTATACTATATGTCCAAGCCAAGTGTTTTCCCCCCAACCCCCACAACTATCTCTGCACAATAAATAAGTGAAATAAAATTATTTCCAACCTTTTGCTTTGTTATGTATATGTATCTTCTCTCTATTTTTATTTCCTACATCTAATTTCCACTTGTTATAGGTATGATGGTCTGAGGCTGCTGACAAAAAATGATGGACATTTAGGGTGTTTAACAAGAAAGGTTACCAGAAACTTCTGAGATTAGGACAATAGGGGACAGTTTGTTAGAGATATGGAAGAAACATAGAAACCATACCAAGAATGTTATGTTATTCTTAAAGCACAAGATGGCAGAATTGTCCAATACCTTTGTGTGCTGTCATATGGGTTTGTCTCTACGATCCCTCTTAAAAAAGTGATCTCTGGGATCTTTTCTGTTTGCTCTGGAATGACTGATTTCACGTGATCACTGGCATGAAAGGTGCTTGGTTTGGAAGATTCATTTGAAATAAAGTGAGATGAATGTGTGAATCCTCTGGTAAAGTGAGTTCTGAATGCACTGTACAGCTGTGGAACAAAATGTTCAATATCTTCTATTTATCATTTTCCATGAAAAATATTTCATGCGATTGATTTTTTTAATCTACCGATCTACAATGAATCAGATATGAAGAGTAAGAAAAAGTCAAAACCTGTGAATTTCAAAGTGAGTTTGTGTGGCAGGGGATGAAAAGCATTGGGCAAAAGAGGAAACCGTCATTCCCTCTGCTTAATTAATATTTTGTGACACTGCATCATGTGTGTCAGTCTGAGAGGAGGTTCTCCTCCATCTGACTTTGAGCACCAAAACCCTAGAACCACTCTTGCTCTGGAGTCTACAAAGTTATTTAAATGCTTCTCCTGCTATTGCATCACATTGTAAGTTTGTGAGAATAGTGGAGGAGAAATTACCATATATTGAAACAAGCACAGTTGTACAATGATTCATTTTCAGAAGGCTGTGTTGTGTTCCTGAATGTAGAGTGAATCATATTTTAAATTATCTTAGTTATATTCAAATTCAAAAGATAAATACCCAGTTCTGACAAGGGGCAAGCCATTTCTGAGACTAGTTCAAAATTACCAGCATTTAGGTTGTAAAATTTGAAAACCAAAAAAAATGATAGGATGCTTTCTTAATTAGTAAAGTAAAACTGTACAGTGAGTAAAAGTTAAGTTGTATAGCAAGCAGTTTTTTCTTTCATTGTAAAGGAATTTACAGGCCTCTCTAATTTCTTGAAACTGTGCTATGTTTTTGAATACTTTACATCTACAAATCATAGAACAATTTGAATCATTTCATATGTAAAAAAAACTAGGGTATTTCTACTGAGTACGTTAGTTTGTTGTCAAAAAGAATTATAATGCAATTTTATGGAGTAGATTTATGCAGATTCGGTGCATCTTAACAATATGATACTAGGGTGCAAAGCTCACACTATAAATTTTGAGTTCGGTTTCACTAGAGGTAATTGCACAGTTTCAAATGGGAGTTTCTTTTTCACATGGTCACCATGTAGGTACAGACCATCTGCACATGGATCTTCCAAATCAACATTTATTTTACTTGGAACTTATTTGCAACTCCTGAATTTTTTTAAACTCATTTTTGTGCTATGCACTTCTCTGAAGCAAAGATCCTTCCTGCCTTCAGCAGCTTTTTGCAACATGTGGTGCAGCCATTACGTAATTGAATAATACAACCAAACGCTTCCTAAAGCTACCAGGTTTGCTTAACAAAATTGTGCTGCGTGAAAATAAATGAATTTTTAGATTACATTAAAATTGCTGTTTGGAAATCTTTGGGATTACTTCCTTTGACTTTCACCAAACTTTCTTGATACATCAGTAGTTTTCTTTTGAAAAAGTGAAAAGTATTTTGTGTTGGTGAACATTATCTGAATCAAATTTGTAAATTTAAAGCCCATTTGACATAATTTGGGTTGAAATGTGAACACAGTTCTGATAGAATAGAATGCTTTGTACGAGATATTGAAATGTCTATTTTACAGCTTCAGATCAACATTAAAGATCCATGGCATCTTTTTAAAAGAAGGAGTGAATTTCCCAAGCATTTTAGCCACCTGTCTTTTCTCAAATGGCACCAAAAACAGCCAGATGAATTACCCATTCTTGAAATTTTTAGGGAGAGAAATTATTTTGCAAATTTTTGTCAGTTTCCCCAGGGGCTGGCATACTGTGGGCTACTTCCAGCGCAGGTCACGAGGCCTTCCTCATTGGTAATGTTTGAAGAATCATATGTGGGTTTTGCTGGTAAATAAGCAGTGTTATACTGACAAATTTTCCCCTGTAAGATCTTATGTGCAGAATAGCTACCAAGTCTATGTAGATAACAGTAACTACAGTAGTTTTAACTGGAAAAATATATCAAGGTGCTACAAAACCAATCAAAATGAAATGGATTCTAACAAAATGAAGTAAATATTAATTGAGGTGACCGAAAGTTTGTTTGAGAAGGTTCATTTCACAAAAGGCTTTAAAGGGGAAATAGAAGCATAAGACAAGAAGGATTGAACAATAACTCCAGACTGTGGATTTAGGCATCACCAGTGTTGGGATAAAAATGGGATGTGGTGAAACAATCCACAAAACAATTTTACCAGAACTTTGAATACAGCTGAAGATAGAAAGACTGACAAAATGAAGGTTGACAAAGTGGCATGGAAAGGATTTATATAGTGTACCTAATGTCTTCCTGCTGCAATCCAGTTTTGCCAACTGTAGGAAAGCTGACAATAGCTAACTGCTCAGAATCCAAATGAGCCACTTTGGTGGACCATTAAGGACCTATTATTTACTTTACAGGCATTTTTTCCCATGTTGGAGGAGCCTACTGTCACTACCAGGTTAAAGACTGGAGGTCTCTCCACAGGCTCTTAGGGACAGGCCTCCAATGCAGGCCTCTCCAAGGCACACTGAGATGCCACCTCAGTCTTCTTTCACCCCAAGCTATGGCTGCTGTCTGTAAGCCCTCAATCTCCATTCCACCCCCGCGCACGCCTTTTAGTGGGGCTAGCTCATGTAACCTTTCCTAGAACACTGCAGCATCATCCTACAGTTGCAGCCTCAGCAATGGCACTGTTGAGCTTCTCATTCTCTAATTGCACTGGCAACTCTTTGGGCTGGTGACTTTTGTAAAACAGTCAACAACAAAAATGTGGCCATGGGTCCCATAGCCGACAAAAGTGGAGAGGAAGGGAGGGTACAGTATCTCTGGATCTTTTTGAAAATATCAATGCCTGCAAATGATTCTGTGACCTTTCTGCATACCATCATTTAGGACCCTCAATCCTGGCTGGAAGTAGCAAATATTGTCAATACAATCATCTCCAGAGAAGGCTGACACACGTAGAGGGCAGTTGAAGTCAAGTCGTACCCCATTGCTAACATTAGCTGCTGTATTCAGAAATTTTTAAAGGTCTCAAGTCTTCTGTGGATAGTTGAGTAGTGGGTAGTCAGATGGTTGGGTGGTTGGTGCAGGTCAGTTGGGCGGGGATGGCAGTTGTCTTTTGGGGTGTTGTTTACGTCAATTAGGGATATAGTTGTGTGGGGTTGCTGCTTGGAGAAGGTAATCAGGCAGGTAATAGGTCAGGTGAGGACAGTAGTCAGGACAGGCCAGTGGAATAGGTATATACAGTGAGGGTGTGGTCAGATAGTGTAATTTCGGTAGGGAGGGAGGATAGTTGGATTAGTTGAGGAATTTTGGTTTGGTGGGTTAATTGGATGGGGGTGGTAATGAATGAGGGGTGTGACCTCTTTGGCACCCTGTTAGCTTGAGTCTAGCAAATCTGAAAATGACTCAATTATCCTGAATAAAAACCAAAAGAACTGTGGATGCTGTAAATCAGGAACAAAAACAAAGTTGCTGGAAAAGCTCAGCAGTCTGGCAGCATCTGTGAAGAAAATATCAGAGTTAACGTTTTGGGTCTGGTGACCATTTATCCTGAGTTTGTTTCCTGCTCATGAACTCATCCGCTTTCCTTGCAAATATTATTACCCAAACCCTGAATCTTTGCAGCATTGAATACTTTTTTCTTTCAATTGGATATCATCTTAATTTCTGTAGACAGTCATTTCTAGCTCATTCCTCTCATAGTCTTTACTCGCCTATTCCTTTCTCCCTTTCTAAACATAATAAAAAAGGTTAGTTTAATAAAGAAGGACAAAAGAGATTAATGTTTGGGGCTGAGGCAGGGAAAAGTCTGTTGGAGGTTTGTCTAGGTGGGAAGGAGGAATTTAATGAAACCATGACAAATTTCAGCGATTTTCTTTGTAAAACGTGTCTTCAGACATGTTAGAGATTCAATAAGAGGTTAGTTACATGCAGGTTTTATAATATTTCAGTGCAGTTAGAACTATCTATCTCACGCTTTACACTTGAAATCCTGTAGATAAATAACAGTAATATCAATGGCTAATCAGTGAATGCATGGTGTACCACAGCTTTAACGTGCAAATAATTCAAGTCACATTTCTGGAACACGAGAAAAGCTGATTATGTATAAATACTATGTGAGTTGCTTTTCATTTAATAATGAACATTAGGTATCTCAGCAGATATCACTTTTAGTATTGTTCAGCTGTTTCACAATAATGATTAATATACTCAGAGTGTGACTGCTGTTCAAGCTGAAAGAGTGGTGGTGGTGAGCTGCCTTCTTGAACAACTCCAGTCCTCGGTCGTTGAAATCCCCGCAATTCTATTCAAGGGCAAGTTTCAGAACATTGACCAACAACAGTATAGAAATGGTGACCTAGTTTCAAGACAGAAAGGTGTGTGGTTTTAGAAGGGAACTTGTAGGAGGTAGTCTTCCCATACCTCGGCTGGCCTTGTCCTTCTAGATGTTGGAGGTTGTGGGTTTGGAAGGTGCTGCTGAAGGAGCCTTGATGAGTTACTGCAGTGCATCTTCTAGATGGTTGATCCGATAATACTAAAGTAAGGACTATCAATTTTCAACTTCTATTATCTGAATTTCATAACCAAGACCTTTAATGGATTAAAAAAAGTACTGACTTATAATGTGCACAGTGGTCACGTGATGAGGTTGAGCCAAGCTCCTGAAACACATGTGAGATGAATAAAGACAGTCTGAGCTAAAATTAACATTTTGGGTATTTCTAATCAACCTGTTCAGAGATGTTATTGCACACCTCTGTGGCAGGTGATCAAAAGGCACTGAAACTCAGTCAGGTATGAAGAAATCTTTGTCTCCTGTTTTTGATTTACATCTTTCTGGAATTTTCTTATCTTGGGATGAAAGTGTTCCGCAGTTACCCAGTTTATAAAAAATACAGTGCACAAGTGAATTGCGTTTCAGGAAAATAAGATTTGGGCAGGAGAGAAAAAGAAGATGGACTGGTAACATCAAGGACTGAAAAACTCCTTCAGTCCATGTTTCCTTTTCAACATTTTGAAAGACAGCACCAGTAATAAAACAAATGGGAGAAGCATTCCTTTCGCTGAGAACTCAGGAATTCTACAGGTTTTGATACTGTTGAGGATTCGAGGTATCCACGAAATGGCTGTGGACTCCAATTCAATTATTACAACTCAACAATTCTGAAAACTTTTTAAACTACATATTTTTTATCTTCCTTTTATACTAGACACTCTCACCTTTTTAAACGTCATACCTGTCTGTGTGTTTAATGTCAGTTTCTTTTCACTTAAGAATACAAGCTTGTAAATGCCTCCTTCGTTTTGATCTGGTGAACTGTATTTTAATTGAAGTGTGATAGCTCCATACAAAAAGAATTAAAAGTAGTTCTCACGACTAACTTTGGGGTTTAAATAGAGAGGAACCAGTTTACCCCACCTCACCTGGTCATCATATGGTACACATTGCTCTTATTATCTGTCAGTGGCAACAGGAATTAATGTTTAAAATGGTTGATGAGATGCTATTGAAGTGGGCTGTCTTATCCTAGGTGGTGTCAGGTTTCTCGACTGCTGTTGGTATTGCAATCTTCCAGGCAAGTGGAGACTATTACACAAATTCCTGACTTGTACCTTGTAGATGGTGGTCTGGCATTGGGGAGTCAGAAGGTAAGTTACTCACCACAAAATTCCTAGCCTCCAACTTGCAATTGTGGCCAAAGTATATATATAGCTGGTCCAGATCAGCTCCTGGTCAATGGTAATCCCCAAGATGGGGGATTCAGTGGATGGTAACACCAATGAACATCAAGGGGAAATGGTTAGATTCTCCCGTGTTGTAGATAGTTATTACTTGCAATTCTATGGCACAAATGTTACCTGTCACTTATTAATCCAAGCCTGAATGTTGTCGAAGTCTTGCTACTTATGAACACAGACTTCTTCAGTATCTGAGAAGTTGTGAAAGGTGCTGAATATTGTACATTTGTCAGCGAACATCCCTTCTTCTCACTTTCTGTTGGAGGAAAGGTCACAGATGAAACAGCCGAAGATCATTGGTCGGAAGACATTACCCAGAGGAGCTACTGCAGTAATGTCCTGGGATTGGGATGATTGACCTCCAACAAACACAACAATTTTCTTTTGTGCGAGAGATGATTCCATCAGTGTAGAGTTTTCCCCAATTACAGGTCATTTCAAGTTTTCTAGGGCACCTTGATGCCACACTCTGTCAGATGCTTGCACATATCAAGGGCAGTCACTCAAAGCATTTCTGGAGTTCAGCTGTGTTACCATGTTTGGACCAAGGCTGTAATGGAGGAACAGATGAGTGGTGCTAACTGAATATATACTAAGCCTCAGTGAGCAAGTTACACACTGCCTGTGTGGAGTTTGCACGCTGTCCCTGTGTCGGCATATGTTTCCTCTGGGTGCTCCGGTTTCCTCCCCCACAGTCCAAAGATGTGCAGGTTAGGTGGATTGGCCATGCTAAATTTCCAATAGTGTTCAGGGATGACTAACTTAGCTGGATTAGCCATGGGAAATGTAGGGTTATAGGGTAGGGGGATGGGTCTGGGTGGGATACTCTTCGGAGAGTCAGTGTTGACTTGTTGAGCCAAATGGCCTGTTTCCACTCTGTAGGGATGAGAATAGACTAACAAGCAATAAATGGCCAGGTTGGATTTGTTCTGCTTTCTCTGGACAGGACATACTTGGGTAATTTTCCCATATTGCTTGGCTAGATGTAAATTTTTATAACAGTACTGGAACAGTTTAGTTACGAGTGTGGGTAGTTCTTGATCACAAGTGTACAGTTCTACCAGATATTTATCATGGCCTATAGCATTGCATAATCCAATTCCTTCAGCCATTTCTTGATACTACATGGATTAAATCAAATTGGCTGAAGACTGGCATCTGGGGACATCAGGAAGAGCCTGAGATGTATCATCCACATAGTACATCTGGCTGAAAATGGATGCAGATGTGTAAACCTGGTCTTTTGGCACTTAGGTGCGAGGTTCTCCCATTGTTGAGGATGCAGACAGCTGTGAAACCCCCTCCTTTTAGTTTTTTAGGTGTTGAGCACCATTCATAACTGAATGCACCAGGAGTGTAGAGCTTAGATCTGATGCATTGGTTGTGTATCACTTGCCCGCTTCTATCATATACTGCTTCCACTGTTTGGCCTGCAAATAATCCAATGTTCCAATATTGAAACAACCCAAGATAAATGTTGTAGTTTCATCAGGTTGACACTTTCTGAAGAAGGGTCCCGACCGGAACGTCAACTTTCCTGCTCCTCTGATGCAGCCTGACCTGCGCTGCTCCTCCAGCTCCACACTCTGTTATCTCCGACTCCAGCATCGGCAGTTCTTACTATCTCTTTTATTTTTAATTATGCCTCCTAGCACACCTGCCTGCAATCTCCTTTGAACCAGGTTAGTCCCCAGCTTGATGAAGAGTGGAAATTATGCTGGACCATGTTGTTCTAGATTGTGGTTGAATACAGTTCTGCTGTTGTTCGTCCATAAAAACTCACGGATACCTAGTTTTGAGTTGTTAGATCTGTGCAACATAATGGATGGTGTCCTAAATTAAAGACAGGACTTCATCTCTACAGGGACTGTGTGATCTCCCATAAATGTATAAGCACTACCACTACTGTCACGGATAGATCCATCTATGATGACCCAATTGTTGTAGACTAAGTCCAAGTAGATTTTTATCCACTTGTTGGTTCCTCGCCATCTACCACAAACCCGTTCTAGCAGCTTTGTCCTTTAGGACTTAGTCAATAGTGGTGTTATGGACATTGAAATCCTCAACCCAAAGTTCTCTGTGCACTTGCCACAATCAGGGCTTCTTCAAATTGGTGCTTAACATGGAAAGGGCTGATTCATCAGCTAAGGAGTGTGTTGAGTGAGGTTTTAAAACGTCATATTGAACTCCATGTTAATGCTATTTCTCCCTCCACAGATGCTGCCAGGCCTTATGAGTTTCTCCAGCACTTTCTGTTTGAACTCTTTTTTTTACTGTGTTCAGTTTATTTGATGTAAATGTTAATAGTAACATGAAGTCAATTTAGCAATCAGTGCTTATGACCAGATTTACAATTCTTTCTCAAAGCAGAAATATTTTTTCAATTCTTTCATACGACTTGAGAATCTCTGGCTAAGCTAATTTTTATTGCTCATCCCTCATTACCTTTGAGAAGATTTCTAGTAAGCTGGTACCTTGAACTGCAACAACCCATGTACATTGGTACATACCACAGTGCTGTTTGAAAGGGCATTTCAGGAGTTTGGTCAAGTGACAATGAAGGAAGTAGTTCCAAATCAGGATGATATGTTTAGCTTGGAGGGAAATATGCAAATGGTGGTGTCCTAAGGCATCTCCTACTCTTGTCCTTTTAGGTATTAGAGATTGCAGGCTTGGACTGCAATATTGAAGGGAATGATTTATTGCAGGGTACTTTGTAGATGGTATGTACTGCTGCCACTGTTCATTTATGGTGAAAGGAGTGACTGTAGAGGTGTTGATCAAGCTGGTTACTTAGTTCTGGATGGCATCAAGATTCTTTTGGTATTGTTGAAGTGGTACTCTAAGTGAAGGGAATGCCATCAGGCTCTTGATTGGTAGCTCATAGCTTATTGACAGGTTTTGGAGGCCAGGAGGTGGGCTACTACAGTCTATCCAACCTTTCTTCATAGCTAAAATCCCCCATACCAAGTAACGTCCTGGTAAACCTTTTCTGGACCCTCTCCAAAGCATCCACATCCTTATGGTAGTGTGGTGACCAGAACTGTATGCAATATTCCAAGTGTGGCCTAACTGTAGTTCTATAAAGGTGGTATTATCACTGAACTGTTAATCCAGAGACCCAGGTAATGTTCTGGGTTCCTGGGTTCAAATCCCGCCATGGCAAATTGTGGAATTTAAACCCAATATAAAATCTCGAATTAAGAGTCTTACTATGACTTTGCCAATTGTCATAAAAAAACACCCATCTGGGTTCACTAATGTCTGAGGAAACTGCTATCCTCACCTGGTCTACATTCAACTCCAGACCAATTAAGCATGGTAACAGACAGATTTGAACTAACTAGTAATAGGTAACATTCACATCATACAAGTATTAGCTGTGGCTATTATTAATAATAAAAATTCCAATTACCTTCCAATTTAACCTCACTTTCACTACTGATCAGATGCTTAGCTAGAATAGTCATGTCAATATAGGAAAGGAATGAGTATTCTAAGGGCTTATGTAATAGAGAATGCAACATCACACAGCAACTCAGCACCATTCCGGATAGAATATTTTGCATAATTGTGGACCCTTCCCCCATCATTGTACTCAACATCTGACCTCTTCTGTCGCCAACACACCATGGCTGTATATGAACATTATATATGCATTGCAAGATCCTGCTAAAGTCAATTTGGCACACAAAAAGTAAGAACAGCAATGTCATGAGCCTTGGACAAATATTACTATTCTTTTAAAGATGCTGGGTCAATATTCTGGAATCACCTGCTTAAGGACTGTTGTGCTACATAGTTTAAAAAGTCCATCACATTTCATTGCAGCATCCTGAAGGAAAATAAACATCATAAACACACAGTCTCTGACTTTGATTTATACTCTGTTACAAGGTGCCATTGCTTTGCGGCTAAGAGAGCGGATTACAACAATTGAAAGAAAAGTAAAAGCAAAATGTATTTTCGTACTGGAATGCAATTGTATTTTCTCCCGGGGGGCACTATCCTAAAAACCAACAAACATTTATGTGATAAAGCTTTGGCTGTTTGTTACAGGTGGAAGTATAAGTGTTCAATATTCAGTGCTTTCCAGATGCTGCCTTTGCAAGTTTCATAACTTCCTACGTGATATTGCAACAGTGCACAGATCATATCAAAAGAATAGAAGTAATTCTACATCTGTGATGGGGATTCATAATGCTTTGTGTATTATACAACAAACTAACTTGATAATGTGTAACATGTTTTTTAATCCAGCTTCTGGATGTAGTGTCTTTCCTTGCAAATCGAAACATGCGACTTCTTGTCCTTGGACGGAAGCATATGCTGGGAGGAACGCGCAGCTGGAACAAAGGTCATATGGCTGAAATACAGAAGTATGCTGACTGCTTCTTCACAGAAAATATGTAAGTCAAAGGAGGATTTTTCATGTAATAAGCAAACAAGAAAACTAAAGACAATGTTTTCATTGCCACTTCTTGAAAAAATGAATAATTTTGACATTCAATCGTGAAAAGAAGGGTAGAGAATAATCATTTGGGTCCATGAAGCACAGCTCATCTGGATATGATATAGCTACAGATTTGTAGGGCAATCACATGGGAGAGGAACAGACCATAGTAAAACTACTCCAGTTGTGAACGGTGACTTAGTCATTCTCCTGCCTTTTTCCATACCCCTGCACATTATTTCTAGTTAAATAATCATCAAAAGCCCACGTGAATGCCTCAATTGAACTCAGTTACTCTTAATAATATACCTAACAGCAAATGTACAATACTGTGCTGACTGGATATAAATTACAATGTATTTTTTTCTTAATTTAAAAGTTACTTACACCCTCCTATAAATCATTGGTGATGATAATGTGCAGCATTAGTCTTGACACAGCCTTGTGGAATTCTATATGTGTCTAGGCCCAGTTAGCCCACTCCCAGCCAATATTTGCAACCCTTTAACAACAAGATTTCAGCCAACTTTTTCCCTCAACTGCAAAATCAGCATAATCTTCTGTAACTCTAATATCTCAAGCGAGACATGAATTAATGTACCACTGAGGCAGCTGAATAATTTGAATTCAATGAATTAAATAAAGTCTGGAATGAAAGGTTAGTACTGTATCAGTAATGGTGACCACAAGCTATCATTATCATAAAAATCCATCTGGTTGACCTAAGGAAAGGAAATCCACCATCTTTATCTGGTATGGGTTGATTCTAAACCCACAGCGATATGGTTGACTCTTAACTGCTCTTTGAAATAACCTAGCAAGCCACCAGATGATATTCAAGAAGCTAGCTCACCACCATTATCTAAGAGCAATTGGGATGGGGAATCTGTGCTCGCCTTTTCAGTGATGTTAAAATGTGATTTTTTTTCAAAAAAACCTATTAAATAGCTTTCGCTAATGCTTTGTTTCATAAGGGAGCAATTGTCAGCAGTGTTACTAAATAATTTTGTCTTCCCGCCTTCTAAGTTTGGCATCCCATTATCAAACGAAATTTTGAGTAGGCAGTTACAATGTGCTATGATAAAAAAATCATAATCTGATTTTCTTGCATTCTGATTGGAGTTGTTTGTTTTATAACAGATGACATAGATCAATTTTGCCTTCAGCTATATCCAAATATTTCAACTACTTTCCATTAATATTTCCAATTATACTGTAGTTATATTGCAACAACAAATAGGGTTAAGGATAGGGTGAATGCAAAATTAATAGCTCTTAAGTTAAACGCATGTAGAATTTGGAACAAAATTACTGACACAAGTAGAAGTTAATGTATACAATCTTATAGCCATTGGGGAGATATGTCTACAAGGAGATCAAAGCTAGAAACTAAATATTCAGGGGTGTATGACTTTTCAAGAGGACAAGCAGGAAGGAAAATGTGTTGGGTGGCTTTGTTAGTACAGTCAATCTTCTGTATCAGCAAGGGTTCCATGCCTGAGAACCCCCTCGAATGATGAAATTTGCGATTGTGGAGCTCATTAAAAATAGGTTAAAATGGTTAACAATATAATGGCTACATGACTTTTGCCCAGGGATGTTGATTTTGTTGTTACTTTGGTATTTATTTTTTGGCACAGATAGGCAAATTTACAATTTGTGATTTCGGAGATGCAGAGGATTTATTGTAAAGATGGAATAAGTACAATGAGGATACAGAGGATTTATTGTACAATATGGAATAAATATAACAGCAAATTATCTTAGATTAGATGATCCACATGGGTGGAGGTACGAAAGGTGAAGAAGACACTAGTAGGAGTGATCTATAGGCCTTCTAACAGTAGCTATACTGTAGGACAGAGAATAAATCATAAGGTAATGAGGACATGTAAAAAGTGCAGTACACTAATTTCCCCCGAGTGTTTGAGTGAGGACTCAAAAGTAGTCCTGAAAATGTCACTATCTCTGGGCTGGGGAATGCCACGAGAGGCTGAGAAGAAGCCTGCAAGCATTGATATTTCAGCTCAGCTGAGAGGGTGAGTATTGAAAACAGTATTTGCTGATGAAATAGAACAAGATTAGAGGTTGGTGGTGGGAAGAACCCAGGGGCAGGACTGCCTCAGTGAAGTCCCACCTGCTCCAGAGGTCATAGAGTCATACAGCATGGAAACAAACACTTCAGCCCAACTACTCCATGCCGACTATGTTCCCAACTTAAACTAGTCCCATTTGCCTGCATTTGGCCCATATACCTCCAAACCTTTCCTTTTCATGTACTTATCGTAATGTCTTTTAAATGTTTTAACTCCACCTACATCCACCACTTCTTCTGGCAGTTCAGTCCACACACGAACCACTGTCTGTGTAAAAAAAGTTCCCCCTCCTGTGCTTTTTAAGCCGTTATCCTCTCACCTTAAAAATATGCCCCCAAGTTTTTAACTCTCCTGCTCTAGGGAAAAGACTCTTGCTATTCATCTTATCTATGCTCCTCATGATTTTATAAACCTCTATAAGGTCACCCCTTAACCTCTTATTTTCCAGTGAAAAAAGTCCCAGCCTATTTTATAACTCAAGCCCTCCATTCCCAGCAACATCCTGGTAAATCTTTTCTGAACCCTCTCCAATTTAATAATATAGCAGGGCGACCAGAATTGCACAATACTCCAGAAGAGCCTCACCAACATCCTGTACAACCTCAACATGACATCTCAACTCCTATACTCAAAGGTCTGAGCAATGAATGTAGGTGTGCTAAATGCCTTCTTACCACCCTGTCTACCTGTAATGCAAATTTCAAAACTTATGTACCTGAATCCCTAGGTGTCTCTGTTCTACAACACAACCCAGGGCCCTACCACTAATTGTCTAAGTCCTAACTTGTTTGTTTTATCAAAATACAATACCTCACATTTATCCAAATTAAACTCCATCTGCCACTCCTCAGCCCATTGATGCAATTGATCAAGATTTATTTGTAGTCTTAGATAACCTTCTTCACTGTCCACTATACGATGAATTTTGGGGTCATCTGCAAACTTATTAACCACACTTCCTATATTCTCATCCAAATCATTTTTATAAATAACAAACAAAAATGGACCCAGTACCAATTCCTGTGGATTACCGCTGGTCACAGGATTCCACTCCAAAAAACAACCCTCCAACATCACACTCTGTCTCCTACTATAAAGCCAATTTTGTATCCAATTGGCAAGCTCACCCTGAATCTGATGTAATCTAACTTTACTAATTACGCTACCTTGTCACAGGCTTTACTGAAGTCCATGCAAACAATGTCTACCAATCTACCCTGATCAATCTTTTTGGTTACTTCCTTAAAAAACTCGATCAAGTTTGTGAGACACAATTCCCCTGGCACAAAACCATGCTGACTATCCCTAATCAGTCCTTGCCTCTCCAAGTGCATGTAAATCCTATCTTTCAGAATCACCTCCAACAACTGACCCACCATTAATGTCAGGCTCATTGGTCTGTACTTCCCAGGCTTCTCCTTAACGCCTTTCTTAAATAAACACACAACACTAGCCATCCTCCAGTCCTCCAGCACCTCACCTGTTGTTTAGGCAACACACCCATTGTTATAGATGATACAAATATTTCTGCTAGGGACCCTGCAATTTCTTCCCTAACTTCCCACAACATCCTGGGATACACTTGATCAGGTCCTGGAGATTTATCTATCTTTATGGTTCCTAAGACCTCCAGCATTTCCTCTCCTGTAATGTGAACTGTTTTCGAAACATATTTATTTCCACAAGTTCTCTAGCCTCCATTTCTTTCTCTGAACAGGCTGATTAGGAAATATCTAAAAGGTATAATTTGGTACAAATGGTTCAGTTTCTGTTTGTGTAGCATTATAAAGCTAAAAGACACACTTAAGCTAGCCCATATAACATGGGGCTAGGGGAACTGTTTTAATGGATAAATACAGACTTACTCTGAAATCTTTCCTGGAAGTTATTTCTCCCTCAGTCTTTTTGCTGTTCTACTCTCTAACAGATTTTCTGCTGTCTTAATTAAATCCCTTGGTTTACCTTGGGTGTTTGCATTGATTCTGAAAAAAATATCTCTCTTCAAAGAATTGTAAATCAATTGCAGCAAATCAAATTCTCGTCATCCAGTTATCGAAAGGATATTAATATGTTAGAGGGGCTTCAGAAGAGATTTATCAGAATGTTGCTGGGAATGGAAGGTTTGAGTTATAAGGAGAGGCTAGATGTGCTGGGACTTCTTTTACTGGAGTGTAGGAGGTTGAGGGGTGACCTTATAGAGGTTTATAAAATAATGAGAGGTATAGCTAAGGTGAATGGCGGGTGTCTTTTCCCTGGTGTAGGGGATTTCAAGACTAGGGGTCATATTTTTAAGGTGAGAGGAGAAAGTTTTAAAAAAAGCATGAGGGGCTTTTTTTTAACACAGAGAGTGGTTCATGTGTGGAATGAACTTCTGGAGGAAGTGGTGAATGTGGGTACAGTTATGTGTAAAAGATGTTTAGATAAGTACATGAGTAAGAAATGTATGGAGGGATATGGGCCAAGTGCAGGCGAGTGGGACTAGTTTAGTTTGGGATAATGTTTGGCATGGACTGGTTGGACCAAAAGGTCTGTTTCCATGTTGTAAGACTCTATGATTCTGTAAATAAATTTGGAATACAAAGATACTAATCTGTTCAGATTAGTAGATTTAGTGGCCTTTAGGCTATTTCAGGTACAGCAAAAAAATTAGGACGAGAGCACACAACTGGACTGAAAATTGACAAGGATTTGAAGAAACAACTAAATTTCTATTCTAATTGTCATTTAGTTATTCAGGAAGTGCCATTGCAAAAATAATTGCTTATATATTTACATACGTTGATTAATGTCATCAAGATTTCTTTTGCTTTCTCTTGATCTAGTTCTGAAGATGATCCTTTTTTGTTATACGCAACTATACATTCAGGCAGTCATTGTAAATTCCTTAGTAGAGACCTCATGCGGGATCACAAAGCTTGTTTGTCTGACCAGAACACCCGCAGACTGTTCTTCAAGTGGCAGCGTGGACACCAGCTTGTGTTGTCAAGGTATAATCCAGGGAAAAGGATGAAATTTGAGGTGAGAGAGGCACACTGAACAGAATTTGAGATTATAAAACAATTCACTGTAATCCATCTGACTGAAAATGTTTATGTGTTTTTGTTAAGGAACGAAGCTTCGTAAATTATTCTTACATGCATTACTTAGCTAAACAACGTATGTGCTGTAAATTTCATGTACGCGTTCTAATGCTTCAAGGCAGAGCATATGCTCAGAAGGAACTCTTGTTCTCAAAGTTGATATGAAGTGAGAAGTATTCTGATCTAAGCTCTGAAAAGATTCTTTTTTTCACATGTAACACCATGTTGGTTAACTGTCGTAGAAATGTATGTCTGAAACAAACAATAGATCTATTTTTGAAAGGTTTTCACCACATACCCACATTGCTTTTGGTTGTTATTTATATCAGTCAGATCAAATTCTTTCCCATCAACTTGAATTACCAATTATGTTTATTCGCAAAGTGCTAAAGCAAAATACCGTTTGTTAAATCATGAAATAAGAGAAGAAAATTTTGGAGAGACTCACGGGTCTGGCAACTGTGGAGAGAGAAGATGAGTTGAAATGTTGGATGGAAAGTTACAGGGGGAGAACATGATTTCCATCCCCCAGCCCGAGAAAAAGTCTACAGTCAACTGGGTGGTCTAGACAAACTCCCAGTGGAAGTTCAAACCTTCTCAGAGCTCCAGAGTGGGAATTTCCAGGGCTTATGGAATCCAGATCAAGCTAAATCTAGGGGCCCTAGACTGGGTTTTTTTGTAACTTTGGGAGGGGTTGAGGTGGGCAATGATGTCGATTTGAAGGAATCTACGGGGGGAAGGAAGAGAACGGTGCTGCCTTCTCAGATGGGGCACCCAGTGGGCAAGTGGCATGCTCCAATGAAAACACCTCTTTTCTTACCCTTATAAGCGTTTTGACGCAAAATCATGATTCCTAATCCTGCCCATCCATGCTGATTGTGTTATGGAGTGGGCAACATAATGTCGGGGTTGACTGAGCTTTTAACAAGACCATTTGATCTTTAATGATTTACTTACATATGGTGAATGGTGTGCCGATTTTAGTGCATCTCCTATGAGAGTAAATCAGGGTGAGTGGGAAGGTGGTGGGCTAGCCACACTCCCTAAATTACATGCCATTCACTCAAAACATACCAAACTTCTATTTCCAGCCTATTAACCCTCTATTCCCCAGCCACTGCCAAATCTGGTGAAGTTTTCTAATACTTTCTTTTTATTTTACAAAATCTATTTCACATGAACAGTAAAAGCTAGTCAGTTTAAATCAGAGATATTTGAAGCAGATTGAAGGGCTTCATTCCTTTCTCTCAAAAATAAACTGCGATGCAAAGCTATGCAAATACTAATACCCCTTCATCACCACTCATTACCCAAAGGAAGTTTTTCACCAGGTCACATAGCATGTAACTGTAAAGAATTGTCCTCACTGCATTTGATTTGGATAAGTGAACTGTCAGGTCCTGTAATGCCAGTATTTTATGGAATTGTTTTAGAAGGATGTGTCATTTCTGCATCTACCATCTTTTGCACCTTGCTTTTTGCTAGTGTTACGTGCTGCAAACTTTGACGTAATTCATTTTTTCTATGTTTGCTCTTTGGATAAAAGCCTAGCAACAGTGACTAAACAATGTTTGTTTCTTTTTTCTATGATTATGTCCATTCATTCCACAATAGACTTTCTGAATATGTCACCTGCTAACAAATTTAAGCAGTGGAAAACTTACTTTTGAATTCTTCTGACAGTAACAGAAATACACAATCTCTCAACAGTACATTGACTTCTAAAAACAATTAATGGGGTGTTATTCTCTGATGATTGCTTAAGTTTTCTAAACATTGGTTAAATGTTATTGCTTACATGGACTTTCAAATAATAATTTTTGGTGTGAGGAACATTATCTATTTCTAGCTGTAATAATCAGTTTGTTTTGACATTGATAGTTTTAAAAATGTATATCTTTCCCTACAGATCATACCAAAATATGACACCATAGTACAGACTTCAAGCGATACTTGGCATATACCATATGATGAAGAAGGTGTAGAGAGATGTTCCTATGAAGTTCCACGTAAATGGTTGTGTCTTCGAAAACATAACTGAAGAGAAGCAGTAGATAGAAATTTTGATGCTGCCTGTTCTCTTGTTTTAAGGAATTGTTGTATTCTATTTTTACATTTGGTATTTATTTAGTCGTCCTGGGATATTTTATTTTATTTCTCAAATTTCTTTGACATTTTCCACTTCTTCTTTTATAGTGCTGTGACTTGTGTTCTAGTATGAATTTCCAGGTGGCAATTGTCTTCTACTACTTCAGCCAAATGACCATTCTTCCTGTTTCTGTCTGGATGGTATCAGCAGCGTTTTTGAATCTGTTGATATTGTAACCAAAACTAATATGACCCCCGTAGGACATAATGTTTTTTATATATCCTACATGGCATAATGGATAGTTATAATGATCAATAGCACCTGACTCCCATTTTTCTATGTTGTTTTCTCCTTCCCTCAATTCCATCCCTCCATCAAACTCTCGTAGCTAATCAAGCAATTTAATCAGTGATTTTTAAAAATTAAATGAAAATGCTGACCAACAAAGTTAAGCCAATGTAATGGCTTATTGGATTCCATGTCAGGTTATCCTGGTAGAGTTCCAATAACTCAGTACAGATAAAGAATTCAAACTTATTGATCTTTATATAACCTAATTGCCACATCATGTACCAATACGTAACAAACAAAAACAGAGAATGCTGAAGAGATTCAGCAAGTTTGGCAGTATCTGTGAAGACAAAACAGAGTGAATGTTTTGAGTCCAGTGACGACTCTTCAGAACTGCCAGCAATTTCCCACTAGCAATTTGTTTTTGTTTGTTTCAGATCTCCAGCATCCACAGTTCTTTGTTTTATTATTATGTACCAATATGTCACTGATAAAATTTGGACATTATTTAATTGTTTGGTTACATTTTTGAATTAAGCATTCAGCATTATTTGCCTCTTAGGTTACCCAAGGGCTTCTGTGATGTAGATGATTGCCTTGCGTATGTAAATTGCATTATGTCTGCTCAACCATTTCATATTCCGATTAAAGTAGTATTCTTGCTAGTCTTTGAACTTTGCAAAACCTAATTAATCGTGGTTAGAAGTCACATGACACCAGGTTACAGTCCAACAGGTTTATTTGAAATCACAAACTTTCGAAGCACTGCCCCTTTGTCAGGTGAAGTGAAGAGAAGCATATGGGCACAGAATTTACAGGCAGAGGGGTCAGTGGGCAGAGAGATCAAAAGATCATACAAATGGTCTGAGTGGAGTGTCAACAGCTGAATAATTTCTGGCCTCTAACAAAATGATTTTTTAAGCTTCATCAAAAGCAGCAGCTATGCTTTCTTAATTCTCAATGTTACTAGTGCTTAACTTAAAATCCTTGACAGGAATTGTCTTAGGAATGATCTGGCAATGAAATCTGAAGCATAATTGTATATTCAGCAGTCTTGGAAGTATTGAATTCTACAACATAAAACAGAACATTGGGCTTATAAGGCAAGTACCATATATTTTACTGCATTGAAGTCTCCGACTTACCTACCCTTGTTTATTTCCCCATATCCTTAGCCAGACTCTTAATTATTCTGCTTAGTGCAATTATTTCATTTCATATTGAAAGGACTTCTGTTTCAATGGTTTTAGCTTCTTTCTTGATTTTACCTTTTGGGAGACCAACAGTTAGAGCATATCAGCTGTTCGAGGGATGTAGGGGCGGGACCCATTTTTAGTACCTGGTCTCATTCAACTAGAACCAGCAAGTTGTGGGAAACAAATGGCACAGAATCTCTTAATATCTGGTGGCCTGAAAGCCTCTGGGTTAGAAGCATAAACTTAATTTGGGGACCAGGAAGGGGAGAAGACTAGTTTGGCAATGGGCTAGACTATCTTTGTGAAGACTGGAAGAATAATTCTGCTGCTTCTTAGCCCCACAAAAACAATTTATAACTTGAAGGCCTTTCTGTTCTATCAGCAGTGGAATTGGTCAAATAACTAGTTCTAACATAAAAATACGTCATAGACTCCAGTGTGTATTTTTAAAAAGGCTGATCTGTGAAATAAATGTTGCAGTGTCTACGCAAAGATGTAAATGCTTTCAATAGTGTTGGTAATCTGATTATCGGTGTGTAAACTGACTGACTGCATTCTGATGCCATTACCACGTATGGTAGTACTAATTCTGGCAAATTTAATATTTGTCTCACAGAACATCCATTTCCTATTTCTTCATAGATGCTATCATCCAGAATTTGTAAGTGAACTTTTCAACAACACTCCTGAAAGACCAATTGGGCAAAAGCCTGGCCTATTTTTACATCTGTGAATAAGTAGTGCTAATAGTCCATAATTCTAACTGCTGACGCTCATAACCAGAATATGACCAGTATGCTAAGGATACTAACAAAAGGATCAAGTATGAATTCCAATTTGCGCAGGTGATTTTGGGACTGTGGACGAAATTGTGCCCGCAGCAGTTAATTAATAAGCCATAGCCAGGACCACTACTCTATTAACGATGACGAGCTGCCACTTGGCTGCTAATGCAATTAAAGGACTGGCAATATGGTAGGCTCAGCAGTGGGCACTAATGAGGTGGCCACTGTTGAAACAAAGTGTTAGGAGATATTGTTTCAAATTTGAGGTGCTGTTGGAAGGGTTTAGAAGAAACCATTTTAATATGTGTAGGCAGACCCAAGTGATCAGACGTGAACTCTGTGGCAATGGTATTAAAGCTGTAATGGGGCCATTGCTGCCAGGGACTGCTTCATAGGCCATGAAGCATCCGGAATGGCAGACATTGTGGGAAGTTATGGGAAGCTGCATTATCATACCTAGCAAATGACCAGTGCAGTGAAGGGTACATTGTAACCATGATAAAATGTGACTGTTTATAGGCCAGGAGCTGCAGAAGTGCTTCTTTGTACAACAGTTAATCTGGTCCGACACATTTCTGGAAACTGCCCTTTGAGACTTGCAGCTGAGAGTCAGCTCTGGAATAATTTAGTTTCCTTGACAATCCATACAATTTTGGGTCGCTTACATTTGGTCAAAATGATTGCACAATGTTCACTATGTTCTGAGATGGCTGGATAATATGTAAAAATGATAGGGAGGAAAATGTAGGTGCTCTCATTAATACTTCTGTAGCTGACACTAAAATTGGTGGAGTTGTAGATAGTGAGGAGGATTGTCAAAGAATGTAGTGGGATATGGATAGATTGCAGATTTGGGCAGAAATGGCAGGTGACATTTAATCCAGACAAATGTGAGGTGATGCATTTTGGAAGATCAAATTCCGGTGCAAACTATACAATAAATGGCAGAACTAATTAACATACAGACAGATCTGGGTGTACAGGTGCACAGATCCCTGAAAGTGGCAACACAGGTGGATAAGATGGTCAAGGTGTATAGCACACTTGCCTTTATTGGCTGAGGTATCAAATATAGAAGTTGGCAAGTTATGTTATAGCTATTTAAAACTTTAGTTAGGCAACATTCGGAATAATGCATGCATTTCTTCTCGCCGCACCACCAGAAGGAGTGGTAATCTCCCAACACATCCAGGTCTGATTGTGCATGTACAGTCATCATTTTTATGCACAACTTTATATCATTCACAAATTCTCAACACATACATCTTGCTACAATCTTTGAATTTTATTGATGACCATCAGTTCCTGTTGGATATCACTGCAACCTTATCCAAATATATTGAGAAGCTCTTTCTATCTATAGCTACTCAGTTGATTGTAAATCCAACATAGCAACTTATCACAAAATTCTATCTTGTAGCGGGTTCATTTTCCAGGGGACTCTTATTCAGTGTGTTCACTATTGTACATCAAAACATAACTACAATTGTAGAATTTTGAGTTTAATTTTTAATCAATATTTTACATTGTCATGGATAAAACAGGGAGGTGATTTTTTTTTTGGTCGTCCAATAATCATAACAGGTGATTTTTAATTTTTTCTTATTTCAGTTCCATTTTAAAATTGGCTACAATGGGTTTTTAAATGATGAGCAACCAACTCTCTTTAGGGTGAAAAACAAAAGGATGACTTATTCAAGAAATCACCCAGGGAATAAGCACACACAAAAATACAAAGAATCAAAAGAAGTAACAATTATGAATGACTAAAATGTGTGAGCATTAATTCACATGAATCCGAATCCAGCGAGTCCATGTCTACTGAAGGTTCTTGCAGCAGCTGTTCCAGCAGAATCCCATTTCATAGAAGCTTGGATACAGATGAATTCAGTCAAAAGCATAGCTATATAACTCTTATAGACTGGGAGTTAGTTAACATTTTAGGCAATATACAAGATTCTTCCTATAAATCAGGCTTCAGGAGAGGTTGTGATGAGAAGTAGGGTTTAGGTTAGACTGGAACTTTAAGTTATATGTCCGAATATTTAAAAACATTCTGAAAAAGAGTTCAGAGTTATATAGTCAAAATTGTTCATATCCAGGATTTTCAGTCCTGGATGGAATAATTCAACCTAACAAGGTGATTTTGATGTGTCTTATTCAAAATTACTGTACGTCAGAGGATATAACTATTGAGCTATTAGCTAAAATAGGTTTGAATATGTTCAGAACTAGTTTGCGTAATGTTGTTCCTCCTTTGTGAGGGTTTTAGTATATTGTTCATACAACTAGGAGATGTGAAAGAAAGTCCAGCAAGATGATGAATTTGCTTTTGTCCTGGTAATTGATGGATATTTCTAGAAGCAATCAGCTTACTTATGCTGTGTTTAATACAAGCAAGAATTCATTTTAAAAAGAACTTAAATTAATAATTTCGGATCTCTCTTCATGACTTGTGGACATCATATTCTTCAATACGAATCACTATTTATTTTCAATATATACATTCTCAAATAATAGGAATTGAACAACGTTAAAATCTACGCATTGCTTGCAGAGTATGTCAGTCAATAATGTTTTAACTATTTTAAACAATTCATTAGGGTTCTCAAGAAGGGTCACTGGACTGGAAACCTTAACTCTACTTTCCCTCCACAGATGCTGCCGGACCTGCTGAGTTTCATCAGCAATTTCTGTTTCTGTTTCATTGTTTTCACATCACTTTTGGAGCACAAGTGAAAAATTCGGATACTAAAACAGAAATTGCTGGAGAAATTCAGCAGGTCTGACAGCGTCTAATGAGGAGAAAGCAGTTAACAGTTCGAGTTCAGAACTGATAGTAGCTAGGAGCCAGTGGTACGTATGCTGAAGACAGGGAGAGTAGGGATGAGGAGATGAGGGGTATACATTACAGGGAAAGACAGTTCGACAAACAAAGTGATTGATAATGGTAAGCAAGGGGAAAAAAGAAAAGCTGATGATGGAGACCCTAAATAGGTGAAAAAGTGTTGGCTGTGCTGAAATTAGCCCATGTCGTGACAGGACCTGGGATGTGGGAGTCAGCAAAGGACATGAGAAAAGATGTTCAGGCTCTAAAATTATTGAACTTGATATTAGGTTCTGAAAACTGTAGGGTCTCCAAGTGGAAAATGAGATGCTGTTCTTCCAGCTTGCATGATCCTCGCTGAAGGCTCTTAAATATTTTTGTAGATGCTTGTAAAATTGAAAGGGAAATGTGGTTATGGTGCAAAAGAGATGAGTCAGCATAAAATAAGGGACGTCATTAACGACAAGAGTGCTCTACAAGTTCATACAGAATACATCTGTTCAGTTGATGGCGAGGGAAGAGACAAATATTGGACTGCATTTTAAAGAATTACTAAAATATTTCTAACATTCCTATTGCCATGATTATTGTCCTATATGAATGCACACTATTACATACATTCGGAATCCACTACAGAGTTTTGCGCAGAGAGAAGCAATATGATTACATAAAGAGCATCTACACTTACAAAAAGAATGAAACAGGTCACGAACAATGTCGATGGGCCCACCCAGCAGGCCATTTAGCCTCAAAGGTTAACACACTTCCATTCCACTGGAATTTCTTGTTAAAGAGAAAATGAAGGCTACAAGTCTAGAAATTATGTCAATTATGAATATCAAAAGGATGCAGTGTCCAGTAGAAAG